AAGCCCAAAGTAACAGGAATTGGCCAATTTCTTTTCCTTAAGAGACTCAAATTCTATAACCCTAGTCCCTCCATATCTACTTTTGCTAACAGAAGACTAAGAGTTACAAAAAGTTCAACCACAAAAGTCAAAAAAAGCAATTCAAATTGCAAGACTACGGGCTATAGTTTGAGAAGATTTTTATGAAAAAAGTCTAATTTCAGTAATTTATTACAATGATTACTTTATCATTGATTCAACAAAGTGATGTTAGGCATTACATTTTAAATTAATTTTTCTTTGTTGCTCACTTGACCTTTTATTGATTCAACAAAGTGATGTTAATTAATATCTATTCTTGGCATCTTGGCATCTGATAAAATGGGTTCTAATTTATTTCAGATGAAAAGGACCGAGGTTGAAGATTTGGAGGTCACCTTTAAAAATACTACTCCAGCTACACCAACATCTGCGGCAACTCAAGCACATGGTAACACTCATGATATTTTTACTATGCGCAATCCTCCTAAAAAGCAAAAAAGAACAACTCTGTGTGATCGAGACCCTAGGCCTGGGGGGAATGGTCGGGAAAAATCTGAAATTTGGCCACACTTCACAAAGTTTACTGATAAAAAAGGCGATCTAAGGGCAAAATGCAATTACTGTCCGAAAGATTTTGCTTGTCCTAGTAGGAATGTGACTTCTAACCTTTGGGCATATATAACCAGCAAGTGTGATAAATCGCATTTCAAGGTAATTGATAGGAAGCAACCAACACTCAAACTTATACCTATAAAAGGAGGGGAACAAGGAAGTTTAGAAAGAGTTGTTTATAATATTGCTGAGGTTAGGAGGGCAATTGCCGAGTTTGTTATAATTGATGAACAACCATTTAAAGTTGTTGAGGGAGAAGGGTTTAAGAGATTAATGTCGGTTATTTTGCCTAATTATGAGTTACCTTCTCGCATTACTGTTGCTAGGCAATGTTTGAAAATTTATCAAGAGGAGAAACAAAAGCTTAAAAGACTTATTAGAGATCAACGTGTATGTCTTACTAGTGATACATGGACATCAATTCAAAATTTGACTTATATGGTCATTACTGCCCATTGGATCGATGATGAATGGATTTTGCAAAAAAAAAAAATCCTCAACTTTTTTCAAACTCCAGATCATAAGGGTGAGACAATTGCTAAGGGTATTGAGGCTTGTTTATTAGATTGGGGGATTGAAAAACCATTCACATTGACGCTAGTTAATGCGACAGCTAATGATGCTGCAATCAAATACTTGAAAGGGAGAATTCATGATTGGAAAGGTGTAATCTTGGAAAATGAATTTTTCCATGTTAGGTGTAATGCACATATCCTAAATTTAATTGTAAAAGAAGGATTAAGTGAGCAACATGAGTCTATTTCTCGAGTGAGGATAGCTGTGAAATATGTGAAGTCTTCTCCTGCAAGATCTGCTTCCTTTAAGTCACATGTTGAGAAGGTCAAACTAGACACTCATGGTCTTTTGAGTTTAGATGTTGAGATAGTGTGGAACTCTACATATTTGATGTTAGATACTGCAGTAAAATTTGAAAAAGCCTTTTCAAGAATGTATATTGATGATCATAAGTACTTTAGCTATTGTCTAGAATTGAGTGGAACGGCAAGGCATCCATCTTCAGAAGATTGGCAGAATGTGAAAGTCTTTCTCAAGTTTCTTGAATTTTTTTACCAAACCACTTTGAAATTTTCAGGAACTTCACATATTACTTCTAATTCTTTCTTTCATGAGCTTTTTAATCTTCAAAGCTTAATTGTCCAATATTCTGATAGTATTGATTCTATCTTGACTAATATGGCTAAGAAGATGAAACTTAAGTTTGATAAATATTGGGCTGATTTTGAGGATATGAATATATTGTTATTTGTTGTTGTTGTGCTGGATCCTCGGTACAAAATGAAGCATGTGAAGTTCCTTTTTAGCAAATTTATAGTTCTTTGAAGGGAAAGGGAAAGTCTACCAAAGTGATGGATACTTTATCTCGCTTGTATAATCACTATAAGGATTCTATTTCTGGGGCTTCTAATGAAAATATTGGAGATCAAACTAGTGTGAATCAAACTGATACAATGCATAGTTGTGATGTGTGGCAATCGCAATGGGAGAAATTTCTTGAAGATGAGAATAATATTGGTAATACGAGTGAGCTTGAGAAGTATTTGATGGATGATGTGGAGAAGAATAATGATTTAAATGTCTTAGCTTGGTGGAAAGCTTCATCTGAAAGATATCCAGTTGTCTTTATGATTTATGATTGCAAGAGATGTGCTTGCTATTCCTACGTCTACTGTTGCCTCGGAATCAGCTTTTAGCACTGGTGGTCGGATTCTTGATTGTTATCGAAGTTCTTTATCAACAAAGACAACTGAAGCTCTTGTTTGTTGTCAACAATGGTTGCGGTCATCATCTAAAGAATGCAAGCTTCAAGATCTTTTAGAAGAAATTCAAAAACTTGAAATCGTCGAAAAAGGTAATTTCCTCTAATACAAAATTTAATTTGTTCGTTTTGATTTGGTTTATTCCCTCCACTGCTAACACTGTTGAAAATGCCCAAAAACTTCTTACAATGTGTAGAAGAGTTTCTATGAAGAGTAATGCTTATATGATAATTCTTTTTTCAGAATATCCAGACACTGCTTTGAGCATTGACTAGTTTGGAGCTTAAGCTAAGGACGATGATGGAAGTAGCTGCGAAAGTGATCCTTATGAAGAAAAAAAAGTAGAAGTGAATATGATATTACAGATTCTCTCATTAGTTTTTTTAGTTTAAATACATAATTTTTACTTTTAAATGGACAAAGTTGTCTGTACTTTGGAACCTTTATTTTGGCTGGTTTCTTTGATTCTATCATGTACTACAACTTAGTTCACCCGGCACAGTTTTCTATTTTATTATTTATTAAGAACCGAAAATCCGAACCAAACCGAACCAAACCAACAACAACCAAACTGATGGTTTGTATTTAATTTGGTTTGATTTTGGTTTTAAAATTTTAAAAATCGATTAAATTGGTTTGTTTTGGTTTTAATAAAAAACCGACCAAACCGAACCGTGAACACCCCTAATTAATGGTTGTATCAATTGTATTCGTTCGCTCAATTTTGATGTATTAACGCATACAATAACGCTGGATACAATCATGAGAGATTGTATGCGTTCGCCACAATTTTCTCGCTCAACAGACTGTATTTTCTCTCTTGTATAAGGACATACAGTATAGATATATACAAAGAAGAAGAAGACTCAAAGTTTGTTGTATCTTGTATCAATGCATACAGTCATGACAGGCTGTATGTGCTTGCTCAATAGACTATTTTCTCTCATACAACGAAATACAGTATCGATACATACAAAAAAGAAGAAGATAATTCAGATCCATACATGCAACATACATTCGTCGGCTATTGAAGATACATACAACATATAGTCATAGAAGAAGGGAACCTATAACTTGATTTTGCCGGAGAGGAATTGTACTATGCCGTACAAGTAGTTTTGATAATCACTTGATTTCTTTATAATTGTCCGACGCAGTAGGGGCATTTGCATCTATACCCGCTTTTTGGGTCACGTTTTAACTTGTGTCCGCTTTGCAAAAAAAATTACAAGCGTACCCACTTTTTCGCGTAATTTCAGCATCCGGGCTGAAGTAGCAAAGGCAATCACGCAAAACTTCAGTATTCTAGTAGACGCCAAGAGTGCTAAAGTTTTTGTTTGTAATTGCTGAACTTAAGCATAGTAGCTGAAGTTTTGTTCTCTATTTGCTGAAGTTTTTGTTTGTAATTATTGAAGTTTTTGTTTTTGTAACTGGCGAAGTTTTTGTTTTGTAACTGGAAGTTTTGTTTTGTAACTGGCGAGTTTTTGTTTTTGTAACTGGCGAACTTCAGCTCTTTTGTTTTGTAACTACCCACACGAAGTAACTTAAAGCTGTCGCTTTAATTTTATTTGCTGCTATTTGCTGAAGTACGATAGGCAGCTTTGAAACTTCTCTTCTTTAAATATTCCTATTCTCTTCTCACTCAATTTATTTTCAACCACAAGATGCATAAGATTGAAGTTGCAAAATCAAGATAGAACCTTTACAGCTGAGGGTGTCGGCGAAAAGGAAAAAATTATTGAAAATTTATAGGACTCACCGGAGAAATAAGAAGAAGCAGATAGGGATGAACCTTACTTCTGGAAAAAGAAAAGATAAAACTTTGAGGAGGAGAAAGGGGACTGAAATTATTTAAAAAGTGGGTACAAGTTAAAATTTTTTTAAAAAAATAGATATAGATTAAATGGGGACGACCAAATAGGGCGCCCCGTGCAATTTTTACGACGCAGTACAAGTAGTTTTGAGCCCGAGCTGTGCGGCATTGATCGCCGCCAGGACACCCCCACCGCCAATGATGACGACGTCGTTTTCGTCAGGATGCTGACGCAAAGGTTCTGGTTAAAGAGAATGAATAGTTTGAAGTACTGTAGAGATATCTGGTTGCTAAAATTGTTCCTTTCGTTTAGCTAAGGTTGAAATCGTCATTTTCCGTTAGGTTTTTGGCCAAATTAGGGAGATTTGCTTCGTGCTGTTGAGTTGATGAAGACGAGTTTTTATGGTAAATATAATGTATAAGTTGGTTACACCATGTAAATTTTCCTTATAAAAATATATGCCTTTGCAACCCCCTAATTTTGATCCGTACAAATAGGCACTACAACGGCAAGAAAGCAAATCAAATGTCACAACACCCCTTTATGCACAAGGTGTTTATTGATCTTGTTTCTGGACCACACCTATTGACCTTGAACTGGATTTAGCAAAAAAAATAACAACAATCTAAGAATCATATTCAGTTTTAGAAGTTCAAATCAAATATAGTGAACCCCAACTGAATAAAGAAAAATTGCATGGTTGCAGACAGATGCACACAAGAATAAATGTAAGAAAATCTTTTGAAGATTGAGGATGGAAGGTATCTAATTTGTTCTTATACATCTAATATGATAAATCTACCCCATGAATTAAAATAGTATCCTCCAAATCCTTCTGTCATATATTCACATTAAAAATTGAACAATTCCTAGCTTTCGCTCATGTTGAAAATATGGGGATTAAAAAGAAAGATAAAAAAGAATTGACCAAAATCATTAAGAATACTTCAGTCTATGATTCCGAGTGGCTCTAAGATGTGTATCTGAGTTCTTGGCTAGATACTCAGACAATTCTATGCAAACCAATTTCCCAAGAGTATATATCACTATGCAAGACACAACTCATGTACCTCACCATCACGGTACGAAAGAATTTCGTGCAGCTATCTTCCTAAGGGTATAGCAGAATTTTTCTTCAAGAAGAGTTATTGTACAGAAGGTATTTTGTAGAGGTGAATTCCGTCCATGCCAGGAGGCGATTGGGGTGAAATTGCCTGACGATCAGTTTCACTAAATTCCAGGAATTTCCTTGCAGTTGCTTGAGGTTCCAATATACGACCCATCTTTCTCGGAAATGTATCAGTAATATGAGGATATCTGGAGGCGTTTCTGTTTCCAGTAGAAGATAAAGACTCTTCTTTTATGATATTTCTATGTGCTGAAGCAACAACAGAAGCGAAAACGCCAGATTCCTTCAATCCCTGTATAATGACCTATAGGCAGAAGAAGTTTAAAAAGGTAGATTCAAGGGTTGATAGCCCTCAAAGTTTAACTCAAATATTTTTTGATCTTACCATGGGAGTATATATGCGTGTCAATATGCCCTTCTTGATAAGTTTCCGAATAAGTGTTTTATCGGTCCAAACAACATGTTCACGGTACCTGATTCAAGAAAAGAATCTGTCAAAATTTTCTATCCGTAAAAAAGGGACGTTCAGAATGATGTCGAGTTCATTTTCCTTCAAAGCTGTACATTCATAAAAAAGAAAAACAAAGGAAACATTCTTCCTCTATCTTTTTCTGATACAAATAAAATATACAGTTCAGAATCACCATGGTAAGTTAGTTAAATGAGCAGCCATTAACTGTGACAGAATACCGAAAGGAATTGATTCATGATGAAGTCAGAGGAAGGAAGTTAAAGAAGTATTACCACTGAAGCATTTCCTCCTCTGTCACAGTTGAAGCTATTATAAAAGCCTGCAATGCAAAGATCAAAATTAATCAACAAAGAAATTTTACGGTCCATCTTTTGAACCAAAAAAAAATTGTGTACACTATTTCTTCGCTTTCTTCTTATGTTTCATTTTCCAGCTTTTCAATTCATTAGTTTTTTTTTTCCAGATAACTAGATACTATTAACTCTTAGTTCACTTGGCGTGCCTGCATATAAGTGTTTTTGAGCATTCATTACAGGTTTATTTGCATTAACATTATGATTGTAATCCAGATTGACATGATTAAGCACAACAGCTTGCCGATTACTCACAGCTCTGTCGAATTCTAGCATGAAGCATCTTTTCACATCTTCTTTTGTAGGTTTACATCCACAACGATCTCGTCGTGAAGTTAAATCTGAAAACTTGGGGTATGTGTAATGCAGAACAGCAGCCTCATCCAGTTTTATCTCTCTACAATCAATAAGAAAATACATTGTTATTACACAAGTGGAAACAATTAAGGAGATTGTAATATGCAGTAACATAAAAATTTAAGAAGTAAACTACATAGCTAAAGAAAAATAGATCATATAAGGAACATACCAAAGAAGTGAAAAAGCATGACAAACATCGTTTGTTTGTGTGCGCAAGAATTTGACAATACAGTGCTTAGAGGAGACTGGGGATAGATGAAAAATGAAATAGGGATATAAGGAAATAAAAAGTTAGAAATTACATGACGAACAAGCACCATACTTTGGGCTTTTCATGTAGTTGTGCCACCTGTGAGCACCATTAGGACGAAGATGATCTTGAACTCGTGCGGCTGATTTTCCATTTCCATAAGTCAAAAAGTAGTTAGGATTACCACGGGTTGCTTCCTTGTAGTTTCCAAAGTAAGTTTCTTTCGGGAGATGGTCGTAATTCTTCTTGAACATTGAGACCTACCACAAGGTATAAATGTATTACTGGTAAACAGTCCAAATGAGAAAAGCAGAAAAGTTGAAAACTTGATTGCATAATTAATTTCTTCATTCCCAAGTACTTGCTTCCGAAGTATTTGCCAACAAGTTATACATATTTATCTTTGAAAGAAATTAAAAGCTATTCATGTATCGCGACTGAGGATGTTCCAGCAACAGGATTGAATTCAACACTAGAACTTGAAAGAGTAGAAAAAGGATATCGTTAAAGAATCTTACTTCACTAAAAGGTTCCTTTACATCATCTCTCTCAACACTGCTCTCCTGAAATATTTGCCATCATCAGAGAAGATACCAACAAGAAGAAGAGACTGCAGAAAATGAAAAGGAAGCAAATGCATGCCTTTTCGCTTTGCGTGTATGCAACTACATTCTTACACAAAGTTAGCTTGAGCAAGTACAGTCACTTACATAATTAGGAAAGACCACCATATCAACATCTTCAGGTAAATCTGCCAGAAGTCGCCGTAAAGAATACTCACTAGTTCCAGCTGGATGTAATAGCTCATCAGTATCAAGATGAATAATCCAATCCACGCCAGCTTCCTATAGAGTTACAAAGGCAATAAAGTGGATCAAAAAGCAAACATAAATGGAAACGGATGAGAGGTAATTGCAATCATACCCTTGCCATGACGATGGCCATTTCCATGTTAAGAGTCTGCTTAACAAATAACTCGTAGTTGCATGGTTGGTAGAAGAATCCAGCTAGCCAGGTTTCATTCCAGATCCGACTAGGACACGAGGCATAACAGATCAGCAGATCAAATAATAAGTTCACTTAATAGAGAGGTGAGATGAAATATAGAAAACATAGCACGTCTTCTAGTTCATACAGAAAGTGCACTACCTAAATTTAGTTTGATTTAAGTTACTACCCTTGAATAATCACTTCTTCACCTAAGTCTATTACAACCTGATATTACCTGCCTTCAACCTTTTCAGGAACATGTTGCTAATTAGAAATTGAGAAGTCAAGACTGTAGTAAAGGAAGTCTTTTCTTTAGCGAGAGGTGAATGAGTTATTCTCTTGTTTAGTAAGGGGATGAAAGAAGAGGCAAATAGAAGTCTGACAACCTCTCCGTTATCAGCCTTAAAGAAAGAAGTAATCCCTCATTTACTTACCTTCCAGTAATGCCAAACAAAGGAAGTAAGTGCACAGTCGAAATAAATCAATGAATTTCACTCTCATTTACTCTTCCCTTTCCTTTTAGAAACCAAGAAAAATTTGTGTCTGAATGAGGATAACAATGTCTAGAAATCTCAATGACACAAATAGGATATAGAATATGTTGTCACTGCAGCCCTGGATAGTTACTACTTGCTTGTAAAAGGTTAACGAGTATGAGGTCCACATCAACCCCCTTCCCCAACTCATTGTGGTTACTCCTGATATATAATATAGGTTGCTAAATAAGAAACTCCCAACAAGTTCTGGAAATTTGTTAACTCATGCTAACACGTGTTAGTTTATACAGAAAAGATTTGCTCTCCTCATCTCTTCGGATAAACAGTTTCTCTCATCCTTGGGTTTTGAAGCGTGACTATTACTTGCATCCATTAGCAACATAAAGCAATTGAATGATGCGAGGCTGAATAAATAAAATAAAACCCCCAGAAGGGATACCAAACATTTTCCAAAACAATAGGAAATAATATCTACTCTACTGAACTGAGACCTCATCTTCATAGTTTAGCACAGAATATGTATAAAACATGCAAAGATCGGTTACCTTTTGGCTTGTACATCTTCTAGTTCTCTTGTTCTATATATTACTCTTACTCCCTGCGAAGTATACACATTTCATATATTAATCAAGAGATGAAATCTGTCAAATCAAAACAGTAGAAGTGCTGAAACTGAAAGTTCAAGGCAAAATAATGACAATGGAAATTCTAAGGAGATATTAACACTTACTTGGATTGATTCTAGCACCTTAGATACATTGGGGGATGCAGCTTTTCCCTCCACAAACAGGAAAAAGTTTGTTACCCCAATAACCTTATGATAAAATAACCAGGGTAGTATCTGCTCTAAGCCAGCGGACGTACTTGTAGTGATTGATATCTAATATCGAGCAAAGGTAACATGTTGCTTAGGGTACTGATAAAGCGGAGAAAGAACAGTAAAGCTTCAGTTAAATATCAAAGACGTTGACAGTTGACACTAATGGTAAAAAATGGTGAAGTTATTTAAACGTCACATTTCTATCTTCTTTGGAGAAATATGTTTCAACTTTCAGGAACTCCCTACCATGCCTAAGCAGAAGCGTGAACATCAAACTTGAAATTTGAGAGAAACATTGAAATAATCAAAAGTAAATGAGGTCAAGGACCTTGTAAAATGAAAAGATTTGCTCATTCTGATCCTGATCCATGACATTAAGATCAAATAGAAATACACTTATTACATTGCTTAAAAAATATCAACATTGAGCAAGGTTCAATCCATTCCATTACTTCAAGAATGTGACTGCCTTTGTTCTTAAATATCACCAGCAACTCAATTAGCAATTTCAGTTAGAATATGAATATGAGAGTTAAAGGTGACAACAACTAATGGCACACATAGACAATCAGAAAAGGCCAAGAACTAATAACATGGTTTATCAAACAGGTGGAACCCAATCATCAAAAGAACCTTTTTCACAATTCATGCCACAATAGCAAAAAGACACTTGGCAAATAAGGACAGAAACGTGTTCATCTTTCTTCAATTGATAAAAGTTTAGTATTACTACTTTTTTGGTAACTAAAAAGTTTAGTACTTCAACATGAAGTTATATCAATAATAAAGGCAAAGAGATATAAAGGAACCACGAAAAGCAACAAGTAAACATGAATCCAGATTCATAATCAAGAATATAACCACATTATTCTAAGATTTATTAAGTTAGTTTTAGACTTTTAATCTCCAGAACTAGTCACCCATAATTAACAAAATGAATCATGTTGACAAATAACTGAATTTCTACACCATATTTGAGATTCCTCACAAACATACATTTTATGCACATAACATACATTGACAAAAGAAATAAGAGCATAACCCACAACAAGATCAAAAACCCCACCAAGAACTAAAGGAGCAAACTTCAAGAAAACACATAAAAATATATAAACAATAAAAACTAACCTTAGGCTTAAGATCCGACCCGGAAGATGACCCGAAGTTAAACTTCCAATCTTTGAAGTATGGAAACGAAGGCATACGACTCTGGCCAAGAATATCTTCACAGCCAGAAGAGGATGAATCCGATAAACGTACGGGTTTTGACCCACCCGTGGCGTGAAACTCAATGGGATCATCATCGGGTGCCCATCGGGTACTTGGGTCGGGTAACCCGCCACGCCATTGGAGAACAAAAGCAAAAGCAGCGAGTGATACAGAAAGAACTGTCAGTAAAAACAGCAAACGAGAAACAAAACCAGAAGTATAATAAAGACCCGCCATTGAGAATTCAAAGAAAATGGAGAACTGTAATATTTATATATGATGTTATAAAGAAAAAAATAAACTGTTTGATTGTATACGTTTTGTGTGTGTGTATATAGAGATGTTTTCATGCAGAGAACTGGGACTGAGAGAGAGAGTTGAAACTGAAGAGTTTTGAGTCGTGCCGTATATGGGAACTTTGTATTAGGAGTCGTTTTTGCCGTTGATGGTGTTGTCATTAGCTTTGATAACTCCGAATGTAATTTCATTGAGCTAATCGATAAGGATTACTATAATATTTGGATTATGGTAGGCTTCATAAGATGAAAAAGTAAATCTATTATAAATAACCGAGAATTTTAATTAGTTGTCACCTTGTTGGCGAAGAGTTCATTTTGTACTTTGGGCGAGCGAAGATCATTATGTATTTATATTAAGAAATTTATTACTATTAAATATGTATAATTAGGGGTATACATAAGTCGGGTTGGTTCAAAATTTTCAATTACCAAACCAATAGTATCAGGTTTTTAAATCTATAACCCAAACCAAACCAACATAGTTGGGTTTTTCAATCTCCATTTATTTTGGGTTTTTCAGATTTTCGGGTTTTTTCCCGTAAAATCTTTATAGAACAAAATATGTAATTTGTGCTCTAAATATTTATTTAGTCCAGTAAGATAAAATTATATAATGCATTTTTCAAGAAAATAACATATTAATCGGAGTAAGTCATAGCATTATACTAAAATATTCAATAATAAAGATAATAAAATTACATAAAGCAAATATTGGTAATTAATAAGTCACTAATACCTAAAGTGAAGAACCCAACCACCAGCCTATCTCTTGCTGCACAGTGCTATACAAGATAATATCAAAAATCCTAACAGTAAGACTACAGGAAGTTATGACTGATCTTATAGATAATTGCCAAACAGCTTTTGTACCTGGTAGATTGATTACTGACAAGATTATTATGAGTCATGAATTGGTCAAAGGGTATGGGAGGAAGAATATATCACCAAGATGTATGCTTAAAATTGATATGCAGAAAGCATATGACTCTGTGGAATGGGTATACATTGAGCAAGTGATGAAGCTATTAGGGTTCCCTGAGAAATTTATAAAATGAATAATGGTGTGCATTAGTACAGTGGTCTATTCAGTTATAATCAATGAGCAACTATCAAAGCGTTTTGAGGCAAGAAAGGGGCTTAGGCAATGAGATCCTCTTTCACCATTACTATTTCTGATGGCAATGAAATATCTAAATAGGCTGCTGAAGCCATTGAAGGAGAACAAAGAATTCAAATTCCATTCAAAGTGTGCTAAAGTCAGTCTAGTGCACTTAGGATTTGCTGATGATCTGTTATTTTTTTTAAAGAGGGGATGATGATAGGCTATAATTACGTATTTTAGTCGCTTATTACACTCATATTTACTGCACTTTAAATGAGTTTGAGCTTTAATCGCTAGTGTCTTGCACTAATTATGTGTTTTATGCATTGTAGGAGTGATTCCGAGCTATGTAGATGTTATAGAATGAATTCAAGTGATTTGGAGCTTTGAAATCTGATTAAAAGCTCAAATAATTAAGCTGGGATCGTGTTCGGGGATCAACGGATGATAGTAAGAACAAACGAAGAATCGAGTAGGCATATTGCGTACCGTCTAGTAAAATACACATAACGTTTTCCTCAGAAATCTATTTGGGCTTCACAATATATGCTTGGAAAGCTAACTCAAAGAGCTACAGCTTTTATGTTTTACGTTTTTCCAAATTCCAAACGGAATAGGGTGAAAAGTGCACGTCAAGAAAGCGGACGTGCTCAAGCCGCGCTTGTCAGGCAGAATCAAAGTTGATATACGCGGTCTGAGTGCGGTCCAAGCGCGGCTACGCACGTCCTGTCCGGAAAATATGTCCTTTTTCGCGTAGGAGAAGGTGTAATTGTTTGGGCCCAACTCTACTTGATATATATACATGGAAAAACGGTAGTTTGGGGAGGTTGGACAGATTTGAGACACAGATTCGACCTAAGGAGGCAAAGACACAATAGGAGCAAGGCGGGGAATTCTTCTACGAGTTTTTCCTTCCTTTTCCTATTTTTCATTGTTGGTTATGAGTTTTAGTATTGTAGTTTTACATACTGTTATGAATAGCTAATTTGTTATCTAGGGTTTTGATGGAATCTTTTGTAGGATAAATTCTTGTTATGTTTTTATATAATTGAGTCGTAGTATTTTCTCTATTTGTTCAACTATATTATTCTTGTGGTTGATTGAAGGACCCTCAATTAGCTGTGCCTATTTAGTATGTATTATTCGGGAGAGAGTGAATATTTAGGTAGTTGTTGAACAACATCACTCCCGACGTATGTGAGAAATCAATAACCAAGGGTTTAAAGGTGGGATTAGGGATAACGAAACCTTGGGTGTGATCTAAGTGAGCTGTAATTAAAGCCAGCTAGCGTAACTTGGAAGAGTATGTCTAGTAAATTATCGTAATTACTCAGGAGAGACTTACAACACTCAGAGCGCTCATGATCGGTAGAGAATACTTAGGCGAAATTATAGAAGACATAGTGGGAAGGATTCCGACAATTGGGAAAATCATAACTCTAGACCTCCTTAATCTTTTCTCCAACCTTTAGTATCTTAAGTGTTAATTTATTATTTTAATTTGTTAGTTAGTTAGTTAAACACAAGAATCTTAATATCTATAAGTTAGGAATTGTTCAAACTTGTATTCTTGGTGATAGTGAACAACAGTAACTAAGCCTTAGTTTTCTATGGGATTTGACTCCGGACTTGTAAACCGGATTATATTTGCAACGAATGCTTAGTCCTTTTTATAAGACATAGTTGGGCGTGATCAAATTTTAGCTTCGTTGTCGGGGAACTAACGGTGTAGTTGTAGCTGTATATATTGCTAGGTTGCGAGTTTGAACTTTTATTTTTTTTTTGTTTTTTTTTTGAATTTTTTTAATTTTATTATAACCGTTGATTTGAGAAATATGACATCTTGAAATTATGGGAATTTAGGTGTAGATAATTCTACTATTGATCCTCATAAATATTGTAAAGGAAACCACTCGTATCAAAATTATCAAAATATTTCTGAGAGCGAGTTATGTGCACCAACTCAATCTTATTTGTGGAATGTGTGTGATGTGCGTGGTGGTAAAAATGGTCACCTTCATAGTTGTGCTTATATTTTTTATTTTCCCCCAACCCCTTACTATGATAGTTCTACCTTTTCTTGTGAAGTTAATAGGAACAAAGAACCTGGGAATGCGGACCTGAAGGAGATCAAGGATATGTTAAAGTGCCTCCTGGAACAAAATAATGAGAAACAACTGCACCTAGAGAGGCAAGAGGCAACTTTCGCAACTTGGAGGCTCAATTGAGTCAAGTGGTTGGAGCTGTTAATGCTCAACAAGCCAATATTGAGGATAGTAGCCAAGAAGAGCATAAATTTGAGGTGATAATTAAAGAGGTTAGATTAGAACATCAACAACCTAGCCAACTACAATTTGAGAATGTCGATGTTGAAGAAGTGAGACTAGAGTCAGTCAAGGACTTTGAGGATACAAATTTTGTTGACTCTAGTATCATTGATGTTGAGGATGTTGAAAGTCCTGAAGTTCATTTGTTTGAGCGCATTGGTCCTCACTCCAAATATTTTTCCACATTGGGCTTGGATGATGATATGGAAATAGAGTCATCCGAGCCGATTGAGAAGTCAAGGAATGAGGAACAAGGTGCCTACAGTCTGGAATTTTTCTCGCCAGAAAGACAAGACTACATTCCACCACCCCTGGAGCATAACCGAATACTTGAAGCCAAATTGGGGCTCAATTCATAAGTTCAAGGTGGAGGAAAAAAGTGATTCACGTCGTGCTGCAACGTTAAATCAAGCGCTTGTTGGGAGGCAACCCAACTTTACTGCTTTATTCTATTTTATTTTTGTTTTTTTTTCTAATTGTATTATTTTTGTAGTGCTGATTTTTTATTTTTTAGGAGCATGGAATGCAAAGCCATTGGAAGGATGCAACAACAAACCAGATGGTTGGAACTAAGTGTGAGGTACCCACACGAAGGACCAGGTCTGGGAAAGTCTGAGTACCCCATGAGATGCTAGTGCTTCGGCCTTTAGCCTACTACAGAGTTTCTTTTACCCTCTTGTATGTATGGGTGTGCATTGGGGACAATGCACAATTTAAGTGTAGGGTGAGTAGATTATCTGGGTGACTTCTATGCTATTTTAGTTGTGTTAGTTTAATTGAATAATTTTTTTTAAATAGAAAAGATTGGACTTTTTCCGACGATGGATCTATTAGACAATTTTTTTGAGGGATTTAAGTCTAAAGAAAAAATAAAATAAAAAGATTTTCTTTTGTTAGGTAGTGTATCAATTCCCCCTTATTTTTTTTATGTTGCGGTTCTTTTCCAAGGATTGTTTGAACCGGGTGTAGTGAGTTTTTTTAAGAGTATGAGCCATTGTGTTGTGTTTTAAATTGAAGCAGTATCTCTTGACTTTGTTATGCCTTGAGAATAGCGAGTAATTTGGTTGTGATGCTTAGGCTCAATTTTTGACTCTTGTATAAGTACCTTAAATTGTATGATTTTAAATTTACTTAACTGCTTTGACTAGATTGTCTTGATGAATCCAATCCTGAGTGAGTTATGTGCCATGTGTGTGTGAGGTTTGTGTGTTATTCTGTGCATTGCATTTGATGCCTAGAACTTGCTCCGTGAGTTTTAAAAGCGAAATAGTAGTTTTGTTCAGTCTTGGAAGTGATATAGGCATTTCTGTGTTGAGCCAGATATGTATAATTTACCCGCCTAATTGTTATGTGTCGAAGTTAACCCCTTTGAGCCTGTAATCCTATTTCTTTAGCAACCACATTACAAGCCTTACCCATTTTTTGAATTAACCATCTATTTGAACCTTCTAACCTCTCATGAGCACTCGAAGTGTTATGAACTGTGTAAAAGTCAAAGTGTGGGGGTGATTGGTTTGGCTTTTGAGTGGAACTAATGAAATAAGGAGAAAGGTGCACTGTTTTGAAAAAGTAAGAGCCACTTCAATAAATAAATAAAAAAGAGGAAAAAAAAGTTGTATTGTTGTGAAAAAAATATTCCTTGATAAGTGGTGACTCTTGATGTAATTGTGCTTGTGCTTAAAGAAGTATGGGGTAAAATACATTGATGTGAAGGCGGAGTTTGGTTTGACATAAGTATGGGGTTTGAATGTTAAAGTATTGTCACGACCCCGGTTCATCCTCCATGAACCATCGTG